CCCTCCCACTGTCTCACTAATTCGCATATTTTATTGTTAAGAGGGCATGACGGCAAAATTAGGACACCAAGAGAGGTTTCTGCTTGTCTATCTTTGACTAAATGGTCTCCGATTGACAATTTATTCCTCCGCAAAGAGATATTATTCCCAATCAGGCCCAACGGATAATTATTTTCCAGGAATTAATTTGCCAGTCTTTTCAACTGTTTAGTTGAATAGTTGCTATGCGCTAGTCTTATACTTCTAATCAGCAATGACTGCAAAATTCCAATCTTAGTTTCGTAATTGTGGTTGGAAGGAAAATTAACAAAATATCTTACATATGTTGGCTGAAAATGCGGAAGCCAATTAATAAAAGTATCTATGAACATCGGGGCATTCGTTAGCATCTCGAATGTTTAGTTTTTCTTATGGGAACGTAATTTACTCATAATTGCAAGACTTCGAGAGGAAAATAAGAAAATATTTGAAACCACAATTCGCGGGTAGATCTCAAAATGAGATATGATGAGTTCACCTTGTTGGTTTATTGTTGTGATGCTTTCTTGTTCTTACAATGTCTGTCGCGGCGAGGCATAAGAGTCTCTTCTACTCGTCTCTTCAAAAGAAATGAAGCGAGGCGGGAATCTACTGAGGGATTCTTCACAACTCACTTTTTGCCACATGTCGACATGAATTTTTTTTTCAACTCTTTTGTCACAGACTGTTCCTCGACCAGTCTACGCATCTGGCCAGGCGTCGGAGTGTCTCTCCGTGCCAGCATCTTTAACATCGTCTTCAGGTCCCGCAGGTTCGGCAACATCCTCTTCTTCCTCCTCCTCCGCCCCCTCTTCTACTTCTTCCTCCTCTTCTTCTTCTTTTTCTTCTTCTTCCTTTTCGTCTTCTTCGTCCTCTTCGTCTTCTTCTTCCTACCTCTCGTCGGGACTTGAACCCGATGAGCTGTCGCCCACCGCCAATCGCACCCTTCCCCTCTCCCCGGTGCCCCGGTGGTCCCCTTTTCAGCCAGTCCCCAATGCAGATGCCGCCTGGCCGCGTCTTGCGTCGTCATCGCAACCGGCCGGCCTGCAGGCCTCCTTCCTGCAACAGGTCGGCTCGAGCTTGGCCAAACTGGCCGGCGGTCAGACTGGCCAGGTCTCGAGTGAGGCCTTCACGGCGTCGGGATTCGGAGTGGACACGGAGGAGGAGACTGGCCTGGGAGGCCTGGAGACGAGTGTGACCCCGTTGCCGGGTTGTACCACAGCCGCCGTGTTGGTGGCTGCAGCCATGGCTGCCACCAAGCTCTGCACCATGTCGCCAATTTCACCGGTCATTTTGTCACATCTCTTGGCCAATTGTCTTGTTCCGACGCCTCCAAGCCGAGTCCCTGTCGAGGATCCCTTCGTTCCTTCTCCTCCTCCTCTTCCTGTTCCTCTTCCTCTTCCTCCTTCGTCCCCTCCTCCTCTTCATTCGACCTCGGGCCTCGGCATCCTCTCGAGCAACGAGTCGTCCTTCTTGGACTGGCCGACTGCACCTCTCGCCGGCGTCTGTCGGCCGGACAAGACTTCGGACTCGAACAAGGCTCAATCAGGCCGGCGGTCTGCCGTGGCGCTGTTCAAGTGCAGTCCCAATTGTTCCGCTCAACCGGCCAGTGACGGCGCTCATGCCGCCGCGGCACCCATTTCGGCCGACCGGCATCGAGCCCCGTCCGACTGGCCGGTGCCGCAGTGTCGAGTTGAAGACGTCTGCTTCGGAGGGCTCGCCAAGTCGAACCTCCAGCCGGAGGAGCTGAGCTTTGCGGGGGTTCGAACCACGCTTCCCTTCCACTTGGCGCCAACAATGCGGCCATCGCTGTCCGCCTCGTCGGCTCGGCCGGATCGTCCGACCGGATTCCATCGTGTCTCTTCCGACCACGACACACGCGGCCACACTTGGTCCTCCCTGTTGCCCCCGCCCAATGAGGTACCATTTCATCCGCTTCTCGCCTCCAACCAGCCCGTGCCTCTGCCCACTCCGCCCTCCTCCTCAGCCTCGTCGCATCCTTCACTCTCGTCCTATGGCGCGCTCAATTCGCATCTCCCTTTCTCCGGCGGCCTCTTCCCGACAACCCCATTTTTCCCCCCGATCCTGCCACTTTCGCCCTTTCCCTCGGCGGCCCCGCCGGCCGGCCTCAACTGGCCCATGCATCTGCTCGCTCCGGTCGCCTCGAGCCCCACGACCGTTGGCTACCCCATCGGTCTCTTCAACAGCCTCCCAGCCTCGGCCGGATCTCTCTCAGACCCGGCGCCACTGCCATTCTCGCCCAATCTGCCCCACTTCGCCACCAGCCTCCTTCCCTCCACACCCTCCACACCCTCCACACTGACCACGCCGACCCAATCAGCGTCAATCTTCCCACCGGGTGTCAGGCTTCTGTCAGCCTCGCACCCGCTCGTCCGAGCCCCGTTTCCACCGGACGTGGGCCTCGAACCGCTCGAGCCGACCTCGGCCAAAGACAGCCGATCCCGATCACGTGGCTGTCGTCCCGAGGCCGAGGTCGAGACCGAGGTGGAGACCGAGACCGAGACCGAAACCGAAACCGAAACCGAAACCGAGACCGGTGGGTACAACGTGGCCACGCTGAGGGTGGAAGACTTTCTCAGCGCCGCCATCAACTGTCGAGACGACGACCAGTCGACGACGGTCGGTCGGAGTCGGACGCTGCGTCCAGAGCTCGGCGGTGCGTCGCAATGTCGGCCCAGCCTGCGCTTGTTGTGGGCCCGACTGCTCGGCGTCGACGCCGTCTCGCCGGCGAAGCCGACAGACGCGCGGATGGACGCAGTGAACGGTGGACTGGCAGACGCCTCGGAGCAAAAGCAACTGATCGCCGTCTCGAGGATACGCGGTTGCCGGGAGAAAGAGGAGAGAAGAGAGACG